TAGGTTTACTTAATAAAATTTTGTGAGAATTAAGAAAAACTGTCTTAAAATTTGATAATTAATATCTCCGGAAGTATTAGGCCTAGAGATATAAAACTTGACCTTTAGTAGTAAAATTGTCTTACCAACAATTTTACTTAGTGGCCTAGGAGTAGTTTACTTAGTAGAATTTTGAAATAATTGAATATAATTGTCTAAAGCTTTGATAATTAATATCTTCGGAAGTATTAAACCTGGAGATATGAAACTAGGCTGTTTGGAAGTAAAATTGTCTTGCCAACAATTTTACTTAATAGCTTAGAAGTGGTTTACTTAGTAGAATTTTGAGATATGATCAAATGTTTTTTGAAAATTTGGTATAAGTAATCTACGGAAAGAGTTACTAGTTTGTGTCTAATTAGTTTTTTTTTAAAAATATTCATTATTATTTTATTAACTATATTTTTATTTATTTATAAAATAATTTTAAAATTTAATTATTTATATATATTATGATCATTTTTATTTTTTGTGATTTTAATTTTTAACCAAGAAGAATTATTTTTTTCTTGTTCAAATTTTTTTTTAATTAGAAAAAAAATAATAAACAATATTTATTTATATAAAAATATATAATAAAAAATAAAAAATATAATATAAAAAATTATTTATTATGAACTAAATTATTATATTTAGTATTGAGTTTATAATATTTATCTCTATATTCTTCTAATTCATTATAAAGATTTTTAACATTTTCATAAAATGAGAGATTTGATTTCTAACCTTTAATTAATAAATTTAACCTTTCAATATCAGTTTCATTTTGATTATTCAAATTATTTGGTTTGGTCTTCTCGATGATTTCATTTAAATTTGATTTAGGCTTAACTTTTGTTTTTGTTTCATAAATTTTTTTATAAACTTGAAGTAAAGAGCTTTGAAAATCATTATTCTTTTCGATTATTGAGTCAATATCATCAATGATATTAGACATATTTTCTATTAACTTATAAAAAAAAAGGAAAAAAATAGTTAGTAACTAATATTTTTAAACAATAAATTAAAAAAAAAACAAAATAAAAAATCATAAGTCTATAGCGAAGAAAGAAGCCAGCAAGAAAAAAAACTAGTTAAAACTTTTTGAGAACTAAGTGATGATAAAAGGTTAAAAAGATTTTTAAAAAAAAACTTGATAACTTATCATCGAAGTAGTTAGAGTTAGAGCTAAAGACTTATTTAGAATTGTTTTTAATCATATTTTAAAAATTTTTAAATATAAAAAAAGAAAATATTAACCTTCACAAAAAAAGTTTTTTGTTATTGAAAAAAAAAAAATCATCACAGATTTTTTATAATTTATAATTATTATGCACATAAACAAAATAATACGTGAACTTGATTTATACAACAATAATACTAAATTAAGAATAAAATTTGTCAATCTTATATAAAAAAAGAGTAATATAAATGAATAGTTTATTTATTTATATATTTTTATTTATATAAAAAATTATCTTTAGTTAAAAATATTATGAAATTCTGAATATTTGTTTGCTAGATATAGAATAGAAAAATTTAAAATATATTATAAAAAAGTTGTAGAGAAAAACATAAATCTAAATAATTATTATGATAAAAATAATTTATTAATAGATATAAATTATTCAATTATCAAAAGAATTTTATTTATATAAAGCAAATTTTATCAAAAATACTTTTTAAAAAATATAGTTTTAAAATTTATTTGTTTATTTTAATTTTAAATATAATAAAATATTTATATAAATAACTGTTTAACTTAATATTAATAAAAAAAAATAAATATTAATAATTTTTCAACAGAAATTTTGTTGGTAATTTTTTCTTTTATTTTATCTGAAAAAATATATTATTTAAAAAAATATAATATAAAGTATTTTAATATTATATTTTATTTATTAAAAAATATGTTAAATAAATTAAATATATTTCTTTTAATATTTTTCTCATTAAATATTTAATCGATAAAAAAATTTTACGATCAATTGATCTAAATAATTTATTCTAGTTCATTCTATTTTTAGAAAATCTGTTAGTAAATATAGGATTTTATTGTATTACAAAACATATAAATATTGAAGTATTTATACTATAAATTGATATTTCTTTGTTCGTATTTCATCATTAGATCATTAAAATTTGTAATGATTGTGTTTCTTTGTTTATTTTTAAATTAGATTTTTATTTATTTATATATCTTATAATTTTTTTTTGTCTATCATATCATGCTAAAATTTTTTTTGTGTAAATAGTTTTTTGTAAGCAAAAAATCTTTTTTTTTTATAAAAAATAACTTTTTTAAAAGAAATATGAGTAATTTTTCAAGCATTAAGAAGTATCAAATCAAAAATAATAATGATGTATAAACATTTCTTATACTAAGTATTGCATGTTAAGTGTGTTCTCAGATATAAGTTACGCTGCTAGTTGAGTGAGATTTTATATCTGGTTTCCAATAAAATAATCACCTAGTATAAATCTGAGAACTTTAGAGATTGGGCGAGATTAGTATTCCTACTAAAAGGCACAATGAAAATATGATATACTTATAATATTTTTTTTTATTTAGGAGAAAAAAATTACTGAATTATGACAAGAATATAAAGAAGATATAATGAAATTATTAAATAATGAAGGGTTTACATGTCAAAGTTATAAAAATAAAGACGAATTATTCTACTCAGACTGTGATAAATATCTTGTTGCTAATTATGAAGATTTCAAAATATTTATCTGTTGTAAATTTAGAAGTGTAAAAAATATTAGATTTAATGATATTGAATGAGTAAATGGGTTTATTAAAGCATATTATTATGAAGATAGTGGTGTGATCGTTACTAATAAAAATTTTTCTGAAAATTTATATAAACAAGCTAAAAAAATGAAAATATTAATTTGTCAGTCTAAAAATATAGTTAGAAATATTAAAAAAGAAATTGAAAGAAAAAAACAAATATTATTAAAAGATTCAAATGAACCAAAAGAATTAATTGTAGAAGTGATCGAAGAAATTATTAATAATAATGTAAATAAATAGTTTATTTATTTGTATATATTTTTATTTTACATATTTCAATAAATTTAAATAAAAAATTATCTTTTGTTAAAAATTTTATGAAATTCTGGATATTTGTTGTTAATATCATTTTTTTTATCTCTTGATAATAATTTTTTATCAATTATTTTTTTTAACATTTCATAAAATAGTTCTCTATAATATGAATAACCAAAATCTGTTTTTTTTGCTACAAGTAAAACTATATTATAAATATTTGATAGATTTTGATATTTTAAATGTTCTTTTCCTAAATTTTCATTCATATCTAATAATTTTATAAATAATAAGATATGAGAATAATAAAACAAAAAAAATCATTTTAAAAATTATATTTAGTTCAAAATTAATAGATTTAAAAAATTTCTATTGTTTATATAGATTTTAATTTATATATGAATATTGTAAAACTTCTATACAAGTGCACTCAATCTGTAGATCCTCTGTACCAAATTTTCTCAAAAAATTTTTTAACAAAATCAAATTTCTTCAAAATTTTATTAAGT